TTGATTGATTGATTGGTTGGCAGTGGGGGGGTCGCCTCCCCCCCGCGAACACACACACACACACACACGCATGCGGGGCAACTGCCCGTTTTTTTTCCCCACGAGTTTCTTTTTTTTTTCTTTTTTTTTCCGTCTTTTTTGTTTTTGATTTAAAAAAAGATCCTTTCAAAGGTCAAAAAATAAAATAAATATGGGGTTGTAGATCTAAAATATGGGGTTGTAGATCTTTTCACGATCAACAACCCCATTTTTATTTTTATTTTTTTTTGATTTTTTTTTGGCCCCCAAATCACCGTCGTACGGTCGCTGTCCGTATGCCTGTACGGCCGTCCGTCCGTCCGTATGCCAGTACGGCTGTCCGTCCGTCCGTACGCACGGGCCGTGCGGAGACCCCCCGTACGACATATGGGGGACGACACTGGCCACTACCCAACGAAATGCAATGAATGATGGCCTCCGTTGCGTGTGGTGCTTTATGGCACCACGAAACGGAAACGGCCTGGCGAGCAGCCAACCATCCTGGCAGGAAATGAGGCCCGACCTTTTTTTTTTTTTTTTTTTTTTTTGGTGGTTGTATGGCGCTTGCGCTGTCGTCAGTTACTGTTTTTTGTAGGGCCCCTAAACACCCTCAGAATGGGGGTACAGCCGACGGAAGCTATAACAAACACAACCGAACTCGGTTTCTTTTTTGATTTTTTTTATTTGTTTTTCAATTAAAAAAAATATATATATTCTGATAAAAAAATAAAAAAAATAAAATTGGGCAGGTGCCCATTGACATGGACCACACACCTATGGTCCTATGTGAAACAAATACCCCCCTACCAGCCAAAAAACAAAAAAAAACGGAGTTCCCGCTCTGAGTGAACTCCGTGAACTATGACCGGTCACGTTTTTCGTGACCGGTGACCGGCCCGCGTTCACCAGGGCCGTGAACGGTGAACGGGGGTATGGCACTGCCGCACTCACCCTCTCCCACACACCCACGTGCACACACACACAGACTTGTCCGCACTCTCTGTCACACCCATGCACGCGCACACACACACACACTCTTGTCTTGCTCGATCTCTCTTCTCTCTATGACACACACACACACACACACACTCTTGTCTTTCTCTATCTCTCTTCTCTCTATGACACACACGCACACACACAGGCAGACAGGCAAACTTCGTCCCATCTGTGTGTGTGTGTGTCTGTGTGTGTATGGGCCTCGCTCCACTACTCTCGACATGCACAAAAGAAAAAAATAATGGCTGTGTATCTTTACGACTTCTGGCGAAAGATTCACTCTCGTTTTCCACATTTCAAGAGTAGTGGAGCGAGGCCCTATGTGTGTGTGTGTGTGTGTGTGTGAGAGAGAGAGAGAGAGAGAGAGAGAGAGAGAGAGAGAGAGAGAGAGAGAGACAAAAAGAGGGCATCCCCACGCCACCCCCTAAATGTGCAAAATGAGAATGTACTTCTCGCTAGAACATGGCCACATACGCCCCCCACCTTCTATCGGAAAAATGTGTCTTTTTTGTTTGTTCCTTTTGTCTTCTTCTTTTTTTTTTTTTTTCCGATCGACGCAAAAAAAAAAGGAAAGTCTTTCTTTTTCCGCAAACATAATGAAAACAAAATTGGAACGATACAGACAAAAAAAAGGAAAAAGGATGACACGAGATAAATAGAGATAAATCTATCAATTGAGAAAAAATCGA